TGGGAAGCCAGGACATTCGGTTGAACTGATAAACTCTGAAGACAAGCTAATGTGTTTACATGCAGGTCACAGTGTATGCACATTAACGCTCACGCATAAGGCAGCGATTAAGAAATGCTGAAGCATTTCCCTTTGTATGTACTTTAGTACGCATGGATGAAAATTAGATTTAAAAGCTAAAAGGAAACTAACTACAAATGAAGAGGAATATTGCGTTAGCCCCAGAGAGTATATTAAATCCCTCATAACCCAAGCTGGGGGGTAAACAAAGTCCAAAGAGAAGTTCAGTGCTTTGGTTCCCATCCTTTCCCCAGTGTTCCCTTGCTTCATTCAGATTCACTGAAGAGAAGACCACCACAAACATCCAGCCTTGTGCCACCTACAGTTTCCAGAATTTTAAAGGATTATGTACGCAGATTCTCTTCTGGGAGTAAGGAAATTCAGAAAGAAATTGCCATGGAGAAATACAGTTTACAAAACTAGTTAAAAATTCATTTCTGCGACTTTTGAACAGCCAGCCAGATGCAGTAGACCTATAATGGCCATACCCCAGCTCAAAACTCATTTCATCTTTGCTCTGACACACACTGTTAGGGTAGAATGAGACAGACAACTTGCACTTAGACATAAAAGGCACTCCTCTCAAGGCTATCACTGTTTCCTAAGAACATTACTTCTGTCCAGTCTGGAAAAGGAATCAACTCTCTCTTCTTCCAAGCTGTAACATTTTCAGTGTGAATTTACAGAGGGTAGAGGGTAAATGGAAAGTCCGGGATTACAGATTTCTACTTCCAGAAAGAATAGCTCTAATATTTTCCCCATAGACAGTTTCCTCCCTTGTTACTGCATCAACTGATGCCCAGCAGGAGATGGGCTGGCACATCACGTAGTAGCAACTTTTTCTCACAACATCAAAACCTGAGTGAAATTTGAACAAGCACTGGGAACAGCAAGAAACAAAACAGCTCCAGCTACATCTTTAGCATAAAAACAATTTGAAGATGGCATAGCCTTCTTAGTAAGAAAACCTAAATTCCTCAAGAAGAATTTGTTGCCACAGAGGCAGCACTAAACCAGCTTGAATGAGCTTGTCTGCTTTCAGTTTCAATATACACTGTAAGATTTTGGTATGCATTGTAAGATTACCTTCTGCCCTCAGTCAAAGAACTGTAGGAAAACCCTCATGTGTAGATAAAACCATATTTCAAGGAAGAGTCAAGTGGTACATATCTTGGATTGAAGGGATAACCATACTGAATAGCAGTATATAGCAGGCAGGCAAGAAATTCTACCTTCAGAGGAAGAAGACAGGCACCTCTGAGCAGTACAGCCAAGAGCAGGAAAGAAAAATCCCACTAGCCTTGGACAATATAAGAGGTGGTGATAACCTGGAGGGATGACATTGTTAACAATATATTATCTATACAGAAGAGGAAATGTATAACAAACAGTTGAGACCTGGTTTTTGTGAGAGTCTGTTTCACAATTTAGGTAAGAACTGAAACAAGAAGGCAATACCATAAACTTCACAGCTTTTACATGCAGGATTAAAGAAAATCTAGTGCTCACAGAACCATCCATGCGGCTAAAACATGACAGTGTTTATTCTGATTCAAAGAAAATCTCCTTTTACAGAGACTTACATCATGATTATTCCAGTTACCTGGGACAAACAGGCATCTCAAATGCAAAAGTATATTTAGAAGCCGCTGCTCAGTCTCAATCATGTGTAGCAGAGAGGTTGGACGCCAGAGAGACTCTGATCTCTGACGAGCCTAGTGAAAATTGGCAGCAGGCTTTAATGCCCCCACCAAGGGAAAAGCAAGAAGTCAGCTGTTATCCAGCAGCAGCTGGCTGGCCACAAGCACACATGTACCGGCCAGACCATCACCCCGCACACTGCTCTGCCCAGGCAGCAGGTCAAAGCGGGAGCCTGAGAAATGAGGGGGTGGGAGGGCGAGGAGAGCTGGGACAGGAGAGGGATCACAGGGTGCTGCAAAAAAAGCGTAACAGACAGGCTGGGGAGGTGCTGGGACATTGTATAAAAATCAGTAGGAAACCAGATTTTACTGGTTTTGTTCCTTCAGGAACAATGTTATTTAAGAAAGAACACTTTATACTCAACTCTACATTTTATACTCAACTCTGTGCTAAGATATTGTAGCTATTCAGAAAAAGGAGTATCAGCTTCCCCACACTGCACATCAGTATATTTCACATTTCAGCTGGGTGACCACACCACCTAAATGGCTACAGAATATTTTTCTCCTTCTCTGAGGTTGCACTAGCAAGTCTGGACAGATAACACATTAAGGCATTTTCTCTTGCATTCATAGCACTGCTAGATGACAGTAATGTCATTAGCTTCCTATTGAAGGGCGCTAGCTATTGTTTACTCATGAAAAAGCTCTCCTTTGCTTTTCCCAAACAGTATAAAGAGTAAAACAGGCAAAACCAACATTGGAAATATATCAGATATCATAATCATGCACTTCAAGGGAAATATAAACTGCCCTTAATTCTCCTAAATGGCAAATTCCACTGGCAAGCAACTTGTGCTGAAACTGCAGAGTCAAAAATAAATGTTGGCCTCTTTAATGGCTTTGGCAGAAGAGTATAAATTGAAGGGGAGTAATGTGAAAACACAATAACAAACAGCGGGATTGATGCTGTGAGGTGCTGAGCACTGTGCTTTGATGTAAGAACTAATTTACCCACTTGCTTACTCTTACTCAAGTAAGTGGTCTCTCTTGGCTCAAACTGCAATTAAGAACGTTTCATTGTTTAATTGGATGGGAGCAGAATTCCGGGCACTTTGGGGGACTAAGCCCACTGAAGAGTACCTTGTACGTCCACCAGACACAAACAAAATTTTTAACTTACTAAAAATAAAAGGTGAACCCTCACCCTTTCTCTCTCAAAACCTGCTTCTAAGCCAAAGAACTACCCTGATTCTACTCTTAGTCCCTTCTAGTTAAAAAGTCATAACTACGTTTTTTCAATCCAGAAGGAGAAAAAAGGAAAGTATTTCACAGCAAATTGTGAGAATCTCTTAGCTCTAAGAAAATGTATATTTTCTTTGAACAAGACAGGCTGCATCAAGATGGATGTTTTTTTCATGTTAGCCAGCGTCTCTGCCATCATGTATTCTCAAAGGTATGTGCAAAACACTTCCGAGTTTCCAAACGTCTGAGCTAGAGCACATCTTTGTGTGTTTTGTGTTAAGGAGGCAGACAAACTGGAGAGAAAAAACAGCAAAATTATCACAGATATAAAAGAATGGACTGTGGAGAAAGATTGAAAGGTCTCCCCTAGCAGCAAATGGCCCAGGAGGGGGGTAGGGTGGTAAGACAGTGCATTGGAATAGCGTTCAAATATGTACAAGGTTGTTACAAAAAGAGGATACCGAGCAGCTGTTCTCCATGTCTAACAAAGGTAAGACAAAAAAGTTACTCTCTCAGTTTACACAAACCAGCTTCAGAGTAGTTATTAAGCAGCATTTCTAACTATGAGGTTAGGACAAGAGACCTCAGGAGGCAAAGAAATCTCCTCTACTGGAAGATGCTGATAAAAGGCTCTAGAACATCAGTCAGTGACCATCTATATGCACTGCCCTGCCTCAGAACAATGGGAATGGACTAGATCACTTATGGTCCCAGTTTTCTACAATTCTGCACATCAGCAACTTCTGACTTTTCCTAACTTGCACAACACCTAACTTTAACATCCAGAGACACAACCAGTAACTACTGAGCCAGCATTATAGGAGAGGAAGAACCTTTGCGTTTGTGTAACAGAGTTGCATTGCTTGGTTGATACAGAATGGTCAGCTGCATTTCATTTATTGCCTACCATGAATAAGAAATCCCCATTCACTGTTCCAGGATACTTTGCTCAGACAAAGGATATTGTTGCCAAAGAGCAGCAGTGGTCTTGGCTGAAAAAAAAAACTCAGGGAAGAAGCCCCTGTTTTGCATCTCTGGAACTAGACTCAGTATTATTACAGATAATACTATGATTATTGAATAGGGCTTCCTCACACTGGGGGCTAGTATAAAATGTTTATTTTGCAAATTAATAAATTTTGGGTTGTAATGGCAGTGCTATGTCATTTAATTCCCCCAGTGCAGCACAGAAGCTTTGATCCAAACACTACACTCTACCTGATCACAAATTGATCTCAAAGAAGTTGTCTACCCAGCTATTTTGTTTCACAATATCAGAGAAAGGCCATAGTAGGATTCTTCCAACCACCTCTGAACATAAATAGCTATATTTATCGAAGAAATAAACTGCCAGAAAATAACTAGGTTGTTTTTGCAGGAAGATGTCCGTAATAGAAGCATTAGCAAGTCTGACTGAGGGAAGTCAGAGACAGATAAATGAAAGCCCCTATTATAATATATCTCCAAAATGCTTTTCCGTTATGGACATAGTTGCTAAATGTTTCCAGAATACAGTGCTGAAAACTTCACAGGATACATACACTAATGGTTCAGAATACACAAAACTGCATTGTAAAAACCAATACTGTGTCAGACTACTACAACTACGTCAAAAATCTTATTAAGTGAGGATTCTGACATCCATATAAAATGAAACATTATGTAGCAGGGTATAATTGAGCTCATTCTACTTACCCGCTCACTACATGCTTTTTTATTGTTTTCTGATTGCAAACATAGCTATTGGAACAGGAGGGGGAAGGAGAGAAGAAGACTTGGCAATCTATCTATATGACTGTTTTGTCATTCTAGTTTTAAAATAGAGGCAGGCAAGAACATGTACGTTATGTGTTAGTTTTCAATGGAGTAACATGTAAGAAAGCCCTTCTGGATCACCTGCAAAATTACTGCTTTGCTGTTAACAGCCGACAACAGATTTGTTATTACTAAAGGTTTTAGTGAACATGTTTTGTCAGTAATAAAAATCAAAGACAGCTCCGTCAAACTCAGAAGTATAAAAATGCTCATAAGGAAAGCATAATTATCACTACTTACCAATTCCATACTTTGTCCTGTAATATTCTTTAGTGAATTGATCACAATCACAGAGCATTATCTTCCTTCCCCAAACATTAATTACTGCCCCTATTTTCAGGTCACTGTCTCTGTAAAATTCCTGATGCACTGCTCCTGTCTAATAAAAGAGGGAACATTTATACAGCAGCTCTAGAATTCTCAGAATCCCACAACCTTTCTTAAAATCTAGGTAATTTAGTGCATGTGATTTAAAATATAACCTCCATAGTCCATTTGCAAGTATTTTTCACAAACGGGGAATTTACATACAGTAAATCTCGGTAGTTTTCATTTGAGCTATTCTCCCTGGCAACACAATTTTATAACTAACTCACTCTGTTGTAGAGAATAACAACAGAAATTATAAAAACTACTACCAAGACATACAACAGGCATTCAATAATATCTTACCTTACGATTGTCTAGAATGTAACGGCCTTTGTTTCCTACTAAGTTTCCAAAGACATTGAGAACAGTGCGACTGGTGATTGTGCCTGGCTGGTACAGCCCAGTGGGAGCATACTGCAGGAAAAGAGACCAACTCTTAATACAGTTAAGAGTGAAGAAAGAGGACTCAGTTACCTTAGAACTTGCAGGTTTTTTTCAGACTGACTGTTATTGCAGTATTTTCTTAGAAGAATTTTTAGTAAATTTTAAGGTAAGATTAGACTACTGAACCTAAAAGCCAGTGTATATGTCAAAAGCCAGTACATATGCCAGAAGAAGCAGTCAGAATCTTACTGTGTACCCAAGAGTAAAGTCTCCTTTTTTCTTGGAAGCAAACAGAAAGCAAAGGCTAGCACATCCAAACTGGTCAACATCTGCTCTATATAAATATAGATATATAAATACATAATAAAGGCTATTATTTTGATTGGTAATAGTTATAAAAACATGCAAAAGAACCACTCAGGGTTAGTCCTACTGTACTAACCACCGCACAGATACAGGGGATTCAAGTCAGCATGAGTCTATTGGCAAAATTGTCAGTATTTTTGCTTCTATTTTAAGTTTCAAAATTACAATAGTAATTTATCCCAGTAATATCAAACTTAATAGGCAAACACATTACATTTTTTAAAATTATGAACAAACTACTGTTGCAGGGTAACCAAAGTGGATTATTTTGTCATACCACCTTCCCTGACACCTCAACTTTTGACTGATCTCTTCTGCTTTCCTCAAAACTTCCACTGAATTCAGAGGAAGAAACCAGCCCTTAAAATTGCAACACACACTTAAAATGGTAGAAGAGGTCTGTTAACATACAGACACTGCTAAATCAGCATCTCAGAACACAGGATGCATAAGGTGAGAAAAGTGCAATATTTTCCTGTTAGGTTTTTGCTACAAAATCTCATGTACATCTACGGCATCACAAATACATTACCAGTATTAGAAGGAAAGGGGGGGAAAAGATTCCCCAGTGTTTTACCCTGTCTGTGGGTTGATGTTATTCTATCATCAGGATCTGTCTGGAGCGATACAGAAGTGTATCCAGATTGTTAATTTTATAATCATAATAGGTTACAGAGGACTCAAATTCCTTGAAGATTTATCCTGAGAGAATCCTTCTCAAATAAGCACCTGATTAATGCCTGACAAAGCTTATTCATAGATTCTTATTGATTTTAATAGTTTTGCATAAGGTCCCAAATCTAGGAACTCCATTTTAAGAAATCACTCTAGATTTGCTACAAAGAAGTAATGTTATGGAATACTAAAGCTGGACTTTTCCAAATATTTACAGATATAAGTCATATGGATCAAATCTGAGTTCACCTCAGTTTTACATTGGTTTATATATCAATATTAATTAATTTTCTGGACTTCCATTACTGCACATATTTATTAATACATTTACCTTAATACAGTAATGTGGGAGAATGGAAATCATAGGATATCTTTCTGCCTAAATTCTCTCTCCTTTTAATTTAAGCATGACAAGACTAAACTTTTTTTTCCCATCACTTATTAAGTCATTCTATGAATATGTGTGCAAAACCTAAATAATGCAATTATGATTAATACTCTGATAACACTTTCTAAATATCATTACAATCCTAACACAGGATTTTCAAAACAAGGCATTTAATATTTATTAATTAGCAGAAGAATTCTAAATAAGCTGAAATTTTCATTCCTCACCTTTGGAAGCTTATCTCTTCTCAGGAAAAGTGGAACGGCATCCCGGCCTGAGTTTACTGGTAAAATTTCTTTTATATCAATTGTATCATCAGACAAATAATAGTGCAGAACAAGTTCCCGTGGGTCATGAAACATGGATTCTGGGTCATCCCACACACAGAAAAAACGTAACACTTGTCCATCATGCTCCAGAAATTGTTTCAAAGTGTCAATGCGCTCATAAGGACGCAATGGATTCATACTATCCAGAACCTGCAGATAAAGGAGAAATTAAGAGAAACACCTTTTTAATTATTTGCTCTTAAAAACAGGATACCAAACTGTAGGGTACCATCTAATCTTAGAACATGCTTTTAGGATTTTCAGATAACACCACACAATTACGATATATGAAACACTATGACATTACCAAAGAACTATTTACAGGGTTGTTGTGTCCTGAGAAAAAAATACAAAAGCAATTTTGAGTTGGATTTGATCCTTTTTTTTCTTGCAATAAGGTCCTTCAGATCAGAGAATTGTTAAATTATTTATCACACAGCTCACATTTTCAACAAATTGCTCCTGGTAATCAGATGACTACAACTCCAAGTAGCATTAGCCTTCCTGATTTACTCCCCTGAAAATTATTTTTTATAGATGATGTGGTATAAAGAATTAATTCTTTCTTTTCCCTTTGGTGGTTTCTTTCTTTTAGCCTTAAAATATAGTTAATTAGCTTTTGATTCATGTCATACAGTTGGCAGGTACTGAGTATGTACGTTCTCCTCTCAATATATGCCCATAGATCTGAAAAGGAATAGCAAATTTCCAACTAAAGATACATTCCAGCTGATGTGATCTATGACAAGATGCTATCTACAGTCATGGTTGCTGCAAAATCAGTAGCATTGCATTATATCAGATCCCAGGATGATGATTCAATCTGAGGACTGCATTTACATACTGTCAGTTACAGTCACCTTTATAAATGGTAACCTGAACAGAGTTTTTCTCCTAAATCAAAACCTATCATGTCCAAAGTGGGTTAAAGGGCAAGACAGTCCTTCTAATCTACAAAATTCTACAAAATTGCTTCCAAAGGAGAATAGTGAAAGACATTAATGAGACGATGTAAGCTGAGCTGTCTGAACAGAAAGAAGCGTTGACTACATGCAGCTTGTATCATTGTCTAAGTTTCTGTTTATCCATTTATACAGGCCCTTCTGGCCTTAAAAACCTGAGAGGGAAAAGGCTCATTCTGTCAGAGCATCAAGTCTTAAAACACAAAGAGAGCAGAACCATGTTTTGCCTGCCAGTGTCATTGTTGATCTGCAGTGTTCTTTCCATTTCAGGCATCATGATGCTCATATGCATGGCATTTATCACCCCAGTACTATCTTTCCTCGTTCCTGACCCTTGAAGGTGCAATGAGCAACCAAATACAGCCACAGAGACAGACCACCATCCATGACATATCATCTCCAAAAACAGAGAAATATGAATCTAAGGGTCTTGCTACATTTTTCATTGGTCTCATTTTCTATCTCATTGTATTCCTTCCTTTCCTTCATTCCTTGATTTTTCTGGCCATCTGCCCTATTGGGAGTCTGGTGCAAACTGATTTAATTTTGCTCAAAGCAGTCCATAGCAATCCACCCTTAATAAATTAAAAAAAAAAATTCCTCCCACAAATTAGTCACAGGAAAGTGAGAGCATGAAGCAGCCAGAATTTGCTAGATAACTTTTCTGTAACCTCTCAACAACTGAGAATATAAAGACACAGATTTCAGTAATTTTTGGTCTTCTGATGCTCTTATTTCTCAAACCTCTTTTTCACTTCCCCATTCCCTTTAGGCACACATATGCACAATACTTGTATGCTTTGCTTGGCATTTTTACAAAAAAACCCAACAAACTAAGCAGGTTATGCAGTACCATACATAATGTTGACACAGTCTGCCAATATCAGGACAATTCAGCATGTATGATAATAATATAATAATATAATGCACACCTGTTACCTACAGGGCCTAAGTAAGGGAAACGCAACCCATGGCCAGCCTGAGTCACCATTATGCAGAACCAGGAGATGTATTACAAGTATCACTTTTCACTGGGAGACTGCAAAAAGCCTGAAAGCATGAATGAAGTGAAACCAGCATGTTGGCCTGAGAGTGCCTTAAAGACATACACACGGGTCTACACATCTCAGTCATAATTACCTACCACTTCTACTGCTGAGAGAGAGCTGCAGCAGTTTTCTCAATAGGAGGATTAAGTTGAATGTAACAGACACATGTAGTATTTGCTGCTTTCAGAGTACTAGGCTGGATCTATCACAACAGGCTGCATATCATGGACCAACAGTCCTAAGAGTCAGGTCAAAAGAAAAATACAGTGCCATCTGCACTCTTATTAATCAAGAAAAACAGAAGTGAAAGAAACTGTTATTATTTCCTAGAGAAAACATCACTCCCACTAGTATTCCAAGAAAACAGACCCCAAATCCTGGAGAGAGGAATCCACATAGCATCTAGGAGCTGCGAGTGAGATTCTTGGAGGAAGTGTGTATGTGTTCCCAAATACTCACAAAAGAGGGAATTGCATTCAAATAAAACCTCACAAATCTTAAAACTGCACAGTGCTGGGTTCTGTGTGGCAGAAGAATTTGCTTTACACACGCAAAGAGCTGTTAATAAGATGTGGGGTAGATATGAAAGATTACATATGAATAGACCAAGTGAGTGAGTCTGCGGAAGCCACGGATGTGCTTGAACCACAATGGCAATTAGATTTTCCTTCCAACACCTTAAAAGTGTTTATTATCATTAAACTAGCCAAAGCAAAATCACAAATAGAACATATAATAGCTTCATTTTTTTCATTTCAGTTTGATATGGAAAGTATTATTTTATTTTTACCAATTATCTTGTTTTGTTTCAAAAGGCGTGTGAACACATCAGGAGAAAAAGTTATATCTGGCACTTCACTATGTTAGTACAACGAGCCATATAATAAAATTTTAAAAAACAAGTTTTCTCTTGTGATTATGTTAAAACAGCTACTTCTACATACTTTCTATTTGCTATTAGAGAAATCTTTTATATAATGCATATTACTAATAGCACTTTTATTAAAACAAGTTTTCACTGTCACTGCCTAATCTGACCTTTTGTCGCTCTTTGGTGTACGGGTCATCTGGACGACTTGCTGGAGTATTTAATCTAACTCCCATCTTCCTCAGGAAATTTTTTGTAAACTGGTCACAATCTACAATCTTATATCTTCGGGCATAAAAGATTACTTCTGTGTTGATATTGAAATGATCTATAGTATAGAACTGATCTTCGTGTGGAGGTGGAAGTGGAATCCGATGCCGCCGAACAATAGTTCCTTTAAAAGAGTTAGAATAAATGCACAGAGTGAATATCCTTTGCTCTAAGGTACACTTCACAGACCTGCTTATTTTCTGTGCTGATATGACCAAACCAGATGAAGCCATATGTGACAAAATTATCCTTCATTCAGCAGAAGAACTATTAGGTAAGAGCATCCTTTTAATTAAAAATAATACTTTATGCTGATCATCTTCTAGAACCTCAAGTTTTAGTATTTGACTGAAGCTAATACAGAAAATTACCACCTTCTGGAGCAAACAGGAAACCACTGGAATAAATTCATATTTGTTGGTGCAAATGTAACAGGATAGTATTTTTTTTTTTAGTGAAAATAGCAAAGACACTGCGCTCATTTAGAAAAGAGATGGCTTTTTCGCTTTTTCTGAAAAACAACAGTATTCCAGTACTTATTAGTGTCACTAATTTTTCTTTAAAAAAAAAAAGTACACAAAAAGTTGTGTAAAAAACATGTGGCCGGGGTGTATGGAAGAGACAAGATTTGTCTGTATGCTTTTCAGGGTGAGGAGAGACATGTGTAACTAAGGTTAGAGAGAAAACCTGCCCTACCAAGGAAAAAAGTGTGACCTATCAAGCATGGAGGCAGATGCATTCAACTGAGCTTCCTTAAGGAGCACTTTGGAAGTACAGACAACAGAGATGAGTTGGGCTGATTGCTGGACTGCAGTAAAGAATCCATCTCAAAAATACAGAGCCAGGAACTCATAACCCATAGGCTAACAGGAACACTATCCAAAAGAAAAAGAAAGGGGAAAAGCGAGGAGGAAAAGAAAAAAGAGAGATATTTTAACTTTGTTAAAATAAGTATACACTTACATTTTCCTATTGATAGTCTTTAAATGAAAGGACTTATTCTGAGAGAGTTGTATTTGTTTACAATCAGCACATTGAAAGAGAAGGAATCTGTTATTGGTCGATCAGCTGAAAACTCACAAATATTTTGATGAATTGGGTAACGCTTCAAAAGTACTCACTGCTGATGAGAAAGAGACTGGAGCATCTCTCATACAATGAAAGGCTGAGGGAGCTGGATCTCTTCAGCCTGGAACAGAGATGGCTCAGGGGGGAAACTTATTCATGTTTATAAATACTTGATGGGAGGGAATGAAGAAGACAGAGCCAGGCTCTTTTCCATGGTGCCCACTGACAGGACAAGAGGCAATGGGCACAAACTAAAAGATACAAAATTCCACCTGAACACAAGAAAACACTTTTTTACTGTGCAGGTGATCAAACACTGGAACAGGTTGCCCAAAAAGGTTGTGAAGAGAGATACTTGGAGACACTTAAAACCCAACTGAACATGGGCCTGGAAATTTGGCTCTGGCTGATCCTTCTTTGAGCAGGGGCATTGGAATAGATGATATGTTTTCCAACCTCAACAATTTTGAGATTCTAGAAGTATTTCAGAACAACTTATAAACTAGAGCTTCCGTAGGTTAAACAAATATGTAACTCATACATGAAAGAAAGGTATGTAGCTGCATGTATGACAAGCTATGATTTATTCCCAGTGAAGTCAGAGTTCACAAAGAACAGCAGATTAGCATAGCTGGGACTAAACTATTTTTTTTCAATATTATGAGAGAATAAAAAGGACAACAGTGAAATTTTTGCCACATCAATACCTCAATCTAGACATGTGAAAATATCCTGCAGAGAATAAAATGATGGTCCAGTCTTCAACTTCAGGCAGTTTGCTGTGCTTACCAACCCAGACACCTCTGTAACACCAGCTTTATAATGCCGATACCCATGAGCTAAGACCAGACAGGAACCACCAACACATACTATTATAATAATTCCTTGCCACCATAGGTTCCAAACAACTTTAAAATTACTGTAATTATAAAAGGCGCAACTTTAAGACAACTACAGTAAACACAAAGAAATTCCAAAACTAAAAATAGTTCCAGTACTAACCTATGACTAGAATATTAGTTTATTAGACACAATTATCTAAAAGGTCGGTCTCATTATCTCTCACTACAGAACTGTAACTCTTTCCAGTGCCCTTCAGCTGTGCATCTGGTAGTGTTTCCCACTGAGTCTTGTTTGATGATTTTCCAGCGCCCACTATTTTGGTTTTCTGAGTAGGTGGGAGTGGAGGGGGCCTGGGGAGAGAGGCGATGAAGAGAGGCAAGGAAAGAGGGAGAAGATATCACTGTGGTTTTGTTTGGTGTTTGAATGGCCTTATTTCTGAGTTAGTCCATGGAAATTCCTTATTGTT